TAAATATGTTTGCGTTTTAAAAATGCAGGTTGGATATTGGGGAAGGGAAAGAAGTGAATCTTGAAGCATGTCCTAGATTGAAACTTCAACAACAGTGCATCAAGTACCTTGGTCCGGTGAGCCTTTGCTTCTTTTCTTCATCAAATTTTATCCTACTTATGTTCAAACTTTTTGTAACATTTCTTCCACCTTACAGATGGAGAGGATAGCCTATGAAGTCATTGTGTTGGATGGAAAGTTCTTATTCAAGCAAACAGGGGAGCTCCTTCACACCACAGGCAATGCTAAGTGGATATTTGGTCTTAGCACATCAAAGACCCTGTATGTTGGCCAGAACTAGAAAGGCACATTTCAACACCCGAGCTTCCTGGCTGGGGGAGCCACAATTGCTGCTGGGAGATTAGTTGTTGAAGATGGAGTCCTAAAGGTATTGTTATTAATATGGTAGCTGCCCTAATATATCTCACTTGGTTTAATTCACTGCTTTATTGCTTTAGTTGTGTTGAAAAACTTTCCTAATAATGGTTTTTCCTTTTTTTTTTTTTTTTGGGTTACTTTCACCAGGCAGTTTGGCCTCACAGTGGTCACTATCGACCTACACCAGAAAATTTCAGAGACTTCATTTCACTTCTTGAAGAGAAAAAATTGGATCTGACCAATGTTAAGGTGAAAAGCAGATGAAAATTTTTTTATCTTCTTTTTGTTTGTTAGAGAAATTTAAAAGAGAATATGCTGAAATTACTTCTTTTGTTATATTCAGATGACTGCAGCTGATGAGGAAGAAGGCTCAATTGGAAACCAAAGAAGCAGCAAACATCTGAGATGCAGCTCATCTGAGGAGGACTTGGATCAAACATTGAAAAGCTTAGATACTGAAGAGATCACTGTCAAAGACCTGGTCCAAGGGGAAACTGATTCAGTAGAAGAAACTACTGTAGCACTTGAACATCCCAAATCAAGAAGTTTACGCAACCTTAGTGGAGATTTGACTTATCTTGAAATACCAACAAGGGCTGAATTGTCTGGAAGTTTACAAAATGACCATTTGGCTCTTGGGCAAAGTTGTAATGATAATTCAATGGACTCTCCAGTGGAAGATAATCATAGAACATCCAAGGAAGCATTTGCAACACAACTGCAGATGGTTGATGGTGATTGTGAGGATAATGAGCACATTGATCAGGTATCAATTTTGCAAAGGATGAACTCCAAGGAGGTAAATTCATATCAATTGGGGAAACAACTGTCTTGCAAATGGACAACAGGAGCAGGACCACGAATTGGCTGTGTGAGGGATTTTCCCTCGGTGCTCCAGTCCCGGGCCTTGGAGCAAGTGAACTTGTCTCCCAGAAGTGCAAGCCACTTAAAACCATACTACTCTCCCCGCTCTCCTAGCTGCTTGAGTCCTAAGGTATCTTCTCCATTATGTTGTGGTGAGGAAATGACAGGCTCACCTATGCTCAAGAAAG